CTTAGCTCCTTCCCCACCCCTGCAGTTCCTATGCCCCTGCACGTACAGTATCTTCTTGGTCCAAGCTGTCTAGACCATCTCGCCTGCAGGCTGCAGATCTTAAAGGTACCGTCGTTACTTATCGCAGGCTACTTACCAATTTAGCGCTAATCCATCTACCGAACACGGGAAATCTATTCCTGTCAGTGCTAACGTTGATGCCTACCTGAGTCTGCAATTTCCAATCGGTGGCCACAAACACAGTACGCGGCCCCTGCTGATCTTTGTCGAACGTTGACTCACGCGCAGGCACACAACCAACATGCTTCAACACACATCACCCTTCGCGCAGTCGACGTTTCACATGAATGTATGTAGCGCGCTGCAATTGTCCTGAAGCCCGAGTGGCGAATTTAGAGGTCAAACTTGGCTTATCATTTATCTTTGAAGATAACCTTGAATTCTATTAAACACGCTCATTTTCGATTAAAATATCATCGACATAATTTTTTTTCCAGCAAAACATTCCGGTGTCTTACGTTCATATTAGCAATTTCCTTTGCGTGCTTTCCCCGAGGTCATCCGACCACTACGGAGATGTCCAGAGTTGTTGTCGGGCAAGTGGGTGGTACTGCGCGTTCTCAGTGTTTTATTGTCGCTTGGGTTGAGGTGTGTTGGGTGCTGTTTTGGAACATTTTCGCCTGGAGGTGGGGGTGTGCGGAATATTTAATAGAGGTGAGCTGTGTTACATCAGAATAGGATACAATTTACTATCTGGTGTAACCTGTAAATAACCTCATTTCTGCGAACTTTTGGGACGCGTGTCTTGCATGCTTGTTGATATTTTTCCCAGACATTCGCAATTTGTGTGATGTCTTTCCTATGCGGTGTCTTGTAACGCAATGATATGTCATTAAATACCTTTGTAGTGCTGAAACTCGTGTTTTTTTTCCGATTCTGCCCATCCTCCAATAATGGCTTAAATGAAGTGTACCATATTTGTATGTGGTTTTGAATATTAAAAAAAGCCCCTTGGTGCAGTTCACAATCAGGCCATCACAAAGGCATGGTAAAGGTACATTAAAACAGTTCACAAGACCTAGACTCCCCTGGTTTCTCAGCTGAAGGCCCAACAAAATGCACCAGCTATTTTTTGCAAATTATTTCAAGTTGACCCAGACATCCATGATGCTGTAGTAATGCCATTAAACTCTACCCATTGTAATGGCTATGTAGAGATAAAGCTCAAGACAAAAGAATCTTTAGTTATTCATATTTGGTATTTTGTGAGTACAATCTCCACACATTACAGCTGTTGATTGGCTTGTGATCAATGTAGTACAAGGTGTGATAACATAATCAATGATGCAGGGGGAGGCATATTTACAAAATAAAGGAATAATGTTGTCTTGATCAGTCTTTCCACTTAGAAGCAGGCCAATAGCCTCTAGTGAACTTGTCTACCATATCTGATGCTTCTTTAATATCTTCAAATGTGGAACATTTTCTTAAAGGGTATTGTTTTAAGCAGTGTAGGGTAATAATTAGGGCTTCATGGTATCATAATAAGGCTTTGACATTATAGCCTTTTCAATGATACACAGCCACAAGGTAAACTGCAACAAATTGCCTGAAGATAACTGTGTTTTGTCTAGGTCACTAACCATGAGAACAATGCTAACAGCATGCTTTGGGCAGATATAGTCCGGCCCTCAATGGGGAAGAAATACATTGCATAAAGAAATAATATTTCTCAAATTGAGAGACTTTGTAATCTGCTCCAAAATCATGGTCTGCCATGAGATTTTATGATCTTCTGTGATCTTTCTTTGTTTCGTATGTCACATATATTATGAATCACTCAATAGTTCAATTTATCAATTCCTGACCCATCATTCTGATAGCTGCCCAAAATTGGAAGTTTTGCATATCTCTGCCCAATTAAGATTTAGTTAACATCTGGCATAGTTTGTGAAGCAGGGTTTTGTAGGGTCACTCTTTTCATGTTCCTAATAATCCTTTCCACCATAAACCCTATGTTAGAATCAAGCAGGCAGATGCATCTTCAAAAATACTGCAAGACTGAAATCGCACATAAAGTACCTCAAAGTACCAACTAGCCTAGTGCCTGCTGACATGGAAATATCAGCTCTCATGGTCTTGCCTCACAAGTGCTCTATGAGCACTTGTGCAGTGCTGATTCATTGCACACAGCAGATGAAATGTGGGCCAATGCCTAGCAGTATTCAATAGCATGTATGATGACCATCCACAAAAATAGTCTTCTAGCAGTGTTGGTATACTAAACCTTGAAGTCTTTTAAAGGGACTTGAGGCCCTTCTCTCACCATTAGTTTTTCATAACCCTAGCCATGCTAAATTTTTCATGACCTAGTCTAGAGCATGGTGCTGAAGTTTCAGGTCTTGCTGGCAAAATACATTGTTATTTTATCATTCTGGCAACAAACCCAATTTGTGATTCCTAGAGCTGATTGCTCAGAGTGTGGTGCACAGGAACTGAATGTGCAACAAATGGTGGTGCTGTAAAGGTCATCACAGGCAAAACTAGAAGAAGAAAATAGTAAAAAGTCCATTGAGAGCCCAGCATGGTTTAACCTGGTCTAAGGTCTACACACACGGGTGTTGGTCTCCTGCATCATTGCTGTGTATGTAAGCAGCATAGTTGAGTTATTTTTCAGCTATGTTTATCTACAAAAGAGTGTTTTATATGAGGAATTTATCATGATTTCTTCCTTGCATTTCTAGATTGCCTAGTTATCAAGATGTTGGGGGCCTCCTCATGGGGTGAAGGTGGAAATATCTTGCACCAGGGTGGTGGTTAATGCCTCTATTTTGTTATATTTGGCTGTTTTTATTAGGCATTAAGAGGTCAGAACTAGTAAAAACAAAATCTCACATATCATTCCTTCTCTTAACTGACAGGTTCAAATTACCTGCCTTGGTTGGCAACATTGGCTGCAGGAGAGGGAACAGTCTTAAGACTTGGTATGGTTGCTTCCTTTTGCAAGGGTTAGCTAAGAATAGATTAGATATGACTGTATTGAAGAATTGGTAAAAACCATTACTAAAGCAATCAATTGTCTGTCATGTTTGTCATGTTTCGAAGACACCTTGGCTAGGCTGTGCCACAGTTGTAGTCACATATGTGCTCTGGGTTACCAGTTGTGGACTGTTCTTCTTATTGCAGCCATGTTTGCAGTGTCATTTCTGAGTCTCATCCTAGGTGCCATTGGATATGTTTGCCAGATTTGAGCCTTGAAGACTAGTTTCTATCACTGAAAGCTATTGCTGCTTCTAGGGTCCATCTTGGGATGCAGGTATCCATGATCTTTAGTGATCATCATCAACTGTCAGCATCAACAATGCAGCAAAACAAAATCAAACTTTCACCCACTCTGACTCAGATCTGAGGTTTTCAGTCTGGTCTGCTGGAGTCCATCTGCAGTCTGTGACCTACTCCTGTCAGGTCATGGTCTGCGTACAACCAGAAAGGTGCAATGCTTGGGCCGCACAATCATTTGGGAACAATGCTGGGACTGCAACTTATCAGTGACAAGACATCCTGCATGCATGGGTCGTCATATGCACCAGAGTAGGGTGGCATGAGCAAGAGTGTATTGGAGGAAGGGGTGGCAGGGTCATGATGTTTTGGCAAAAGTTACATTCAGTTCCATTAATTATTGGTTGACAATGTCCACAGCTTATTGTCCATTATATACTGCCATTCCCGAGCTTTTTTCTGGAGGGCAGGGCTGGTCAGGATGATAGAGTTCATGCAATCTTTGATGCTGGGACTTTCAGGCCTCTAACCAGGTGAACATGAGTACACCCTTCCCTGCAATGTTTTGCCTTAGACCGCAATGCCTTTATCTGATTAGCTTGGTCGAGCATTTTGCTCCAGTACACATGTATATTTCATCGGCTCGCGAAGCGTGGGCTCGGGGGGAGCTCACCATCGGTGGGTACAGGCCATTTCAAGCTTTGCTAACATGCATTGATTTTAGTAGCTGACGGTTGATGGTTGGGGTGGACAGCCGGCGACCGCAGCACGGCACCGCGGCGCGATTGTCGTGGTTGGGGTGGACAGCCGGCGGCCGCAGCACGGCGCCGCGGCGCGGCTGTTGTGGTTGGGGTGGACAGCCAGCGGCCGCAGCACGGCGCCGCGGCGCGGCTGTTGTGGTTGGGGTGGACAGCCAGCGTCCGCAGCACGGCTGCTGGGGCGAAAGCAGCTCATCTTTTAGCTCTTGTATGTATGTGGATCTGTACTGATGTTTGAAGCGCTCCAACATAAAATGGCCAGTCCTAGTGTCGACTCGATAAAGTAAGAGGTGAGACATGTTAAAAAGAGCTCTGTAACAGCAATCGCGCAGGGATTCAGCAAAGGCGCACACACACAAAACACACATGAGATGCACAAGCATACACACATACATATTCATCAAGCCGCAGCAGAATTATTGCGCAGTTCACGCTTAAAAGACACGAGTGACAAAGTGCGGAGTTTCCGGGTTTCAGTTAGATGTTAGTATGTTATTGGCCAGGTAATGGCCGCTCGCTGGCCTCGTGGCTGGGAGTGAGGAGCGGCCGACCGGGCCGGACCGACCGGTCAGACAGGCCGGGTCCGTCCGTGACTCCCGGCCAGTGTCGCGGGCTATGCGAGGCAACTCCCTGACGGCACGTGCAGGGTCACGCATCTCGCCCAACGGTCGCCTCAGGGTTCCGTCATGCTTGTAAAACATTGGGCGGCGTGGTTACAGGCGTTCGTGCTGTGGAAAGGTCTCGTTAGTGATCCAGGACCCTATTCCGACACTGCGCTGTTGCAAGGTCCACACCGGCCTACAGCGAGGGAACCGTGCCACACGCTGAGTAGTGAGATTGGTGCGATCGCAGGCATGCCGTGTGCCAGATTCAGCTCTGGAGCCGTGTCCGCCGTTCTCAGGTGCGAGCAGTGAGCCATGGCGGAGGCGCCAGACATCAGCGGTAACGTGACGCCCGGCGGCGGGGGCCCAGGTCAAGATCGGAAACTACATCCTGGGCGATACCATTGGCAAGGGTACCTTCGGCAAGGTCAAATGTAAGCCTGCCGTCCTCGTGCTCACCAGTGTGCGTACCAGCAACCAGTATTTGTTGATATCGTTGCGTGTATCTTAACGTTTTGGTTTTTGCGTTGTTGATTGACATTAAATGTGTTTATTGTCATGTTTGCACATGCGTCTAAATGCTGTTTTTGTATGTTTTCACGTCGCTCTCTTTCAGCGGCTGCTTTTGACAGGCTTTGGGTTGTTATGCCCATGGAGTGGCTGTTCTGGGAACTAAGATTCTCCATTTTGCGTTCTCTCGACATCAAAATGTTTTGCGAGCATTCTAGCTCTGTATCGTGCATCTGGTGGTTTTCAGTTGCTGTTCATCAGAAGACGCAGAATCGGGTGGCTGTGAAGATTCTTAACCGGGAGAAAATCAAGAACCTGGATGTTGCTGGAAAAATTAAGCGTGAAATCCAAAATCTTAAGCTCTTCCGACACCCCCATATCATCAAACTGTGAGTTCACTGTGTAGAAGACACTTGATGAACCAAAACCTCATGCCCGAGCTGTTCCTTAAATGGTCCATTGCATTTCATCTGCATTCTACATGCGTCTTTTTTGGTGGATGCTGCCCGGCTCGCGTTATCGTTGTATCCCGAGCCATGTTCGTGGCGTATCGTATTACATTGTTATTATGTCAGCTATCCTCTTGCACTGCGACCGTGTGCGCTCGAGTGTCGTGCAGCATCAATGTCGTGCAGGATCTATTGCTTTCATGTAATTCGTCGGTTGGTCTGACTTGGCAAAACCAGCCACGCCACACGTGACTACGTCCAACCGTCATTACAGGTCATTTAAGGTCAACTTACTGGTGTTGAACCAACTTAGTATGTCCACGTTTGAGAAATAAGTCATAACTGACGAATTTCCGCATCACTACTATCTGCATAACGTGACTTTGAGGGGCGGAAGATTTAAGTCTGAGTGATCTGTGCTTTACCGGACCTGACCCTCACCCTTGTCATGACCTGACCGTCGGCCTTGACCTTTTCTGACCTTTACCGTCATCTTTGTTGGTATGGTTTGAGCCTGAAGGGCTCGAGCGCGCCGTTTCGTTAAGTTATAATTGGGTGTAGAAAGCCAGGTAATTAATAAAAAATTGGTTTAACTGGGGGTCATTTTTCGTGATCTTAACGACATCAATAGTGTGGTGGACCTCAACGTTTTCGACTTCTCTGTGAGATTGGCCCGTGCTGTCAGTTGCCGTTTCAATTTTTCCGATGTTGTGATAAATCCCCCCGATACCGAGGGGTGGTTTTACCTGCCAGGCGGTCGCAACGCGGCCAAGTGCCCGGGCGGTGTGGGGTGACCGTGGCTACTCGTCCGCCGCAGGTACCAAGTCATCAGCACCCCCCACCGACATCTTCATGGTGATGGAGTTTGTGTCGGGCGGAGAACTGTTCGAGTACATCATCAAACACGGCAAGGTAACGCGTGCTCGGCGGTCGTCAAGAGAGCTGTGTTGTGTCGCTGCGGAGAGCTGGAAACACGTGCCACTGTGCTGTACCAGCAGCACAATGTCGTTGACAAGCTGGCTGCATCGGAGCTGCCGGGCGGCGCAAAAACCGCCATCGGTTTTTGAATACCAAAACAGAACTCGGCCGTTGTGCAGCACGGCCTCTGACCTGCGCTGCGTCCGGTGCGGCCCGTCTCGCTCACAACATACCCCAGTTCTGTGTCTGCGGTACGTGACGCCTCGTCTCGTTCCGTGTCTGTGGAACATGACGTCTCGCCTACTCCGCAGCTGAAGGAGCAGGAGGCCCGACGCTTCTTCCAGCAGATCATCTCGGGCGTGGACTACTGCCATCGTCACATGGTCGTCCACCGCGACCTCAAGCCGGAGAACCTGCTGCTCGACTCCAACCGCAACGTCAAGATCGCCGACTTTGGTCAGTGGGCCGTGGAATGCTTTCCTCCAGCAGCTGCATGGCGCCGCCAGTCGGATGTTGGTCGGTGCTGAAATCGTCGATGTGTTCTCGGGCGTCATGTTACGCGCTGTTTGCAGTTCTCGTTCGATTCCAGTTTATTTGTCCTGTTTTTGCGCGAACTCCTGTCATCTCTGAGGAATGTTTTGCTCGTCTGCCAGGTGCCATGACTCCTTCGCCCCCCATCTTCCCCTCCCCTCCGCTCACCGCCCACGCGTGCTCCCCCAGGCCTCTCAAACATGATGAAGGATGGCGACTTCCTGTCCACGTCTTGCGGATCTCCCAACTACGCGGCGCCCGAGGTGATCTCGGGCAGCATGTACGCTGGGCCAGAGGTGGACGTCTGGTCGTGCGGCGTCATCCTGTACGCACTGCTGTGCGGCACGCCTGCCCTTCGACGACGACCACGTACCCACCCTCTTCACCAAGATCAAAAGTGAGGCTGGCGACGCGGCGCGGCGAGCGCGGACGCGCGGAGCGGAGCATCGCGCGCCAGGAGTGAGGCAGCTCCTCCGTTGGTGTCGGTGCTGGCTGGCAGTCGTGTTGGGGACGTGAAGCGTTTATGGCAAATTGGGAACTTCGTACAGTCATAAGCCTTCCTCACCTCACGCGCCTGTGCGTGCCAGGATTCACAGGCATCATCCACTCGGGCCATCGCCGTTGGCTGGGTACAGTCCGTTTTTGTGACCTTTACGAGCTGTACCCGCCGTTGGCTGGGTGTAGCTCATCAGCTCCAGTGAGGCCGACGCGGCGGTCGCCAGCCCCATAGTGCCGCCGGCCGTGCCGGGCCGGGCCGGACGGGCCGGACGGGCCGGGCCGGAGCCAGGCGCGGTAATCCCGGTGGGCGTGGCGGCCGATGACGCGACGCTCGGTCGTCTCTGTGCTCCAGAGGGCGTGTTCCCAATCCCGGACTACCTGAACAAGTCTGTGGTCTCGCTGCTCTGCCACATGCTGCAGGTGCAGCCCATGTGCCGAGCCACCATCGAGGACGTGAGGTGAGCGTGCGCGGTGGCCCGGCTCCGGGCGGTCAGAGCGTACCGCGAGAGTGAGGCGCGCTGGTCGGGCGCAGTACCGCTGACCTCGGATGTGCGTCTCGACTCAGAAGTGAGCAGGGTATGAGCCTGCTCGTGCGTACCACGCCAAAGTGAGCAGGGTATGAGCCTGCCCGTGTGTACCACGCCAAAGTGAGCAGGGTATGAGCCTGCTCGTGCGTGCCACGCCAAAGTGAGCAGGGCATGAGCCTGCTCGTGTGTACCACGCCAAAGTGAGCAGGGTATGAGCCTGCCCGTGCGTACCACGCCAAAGTGAGCAGGGTATGAGCCTGCTCGTGCGTACCACGCCAAAGTGAGCAGGGTATGAGCCTGCCCGTGCGTACCACGCCAAAGTGAGCAGGGTATGAGCCTGCCCGTGCGTACCACGCCAAAGTGAGCAGGGTATGAGCCTGCCCGTGCGTACCACGCCAAAGTGAGCAGGGTATGAGCGTGCCCGTGCGTACCACGCCAAAGTGAGCAGGGTATGAGCCTGCTCGTGCGTACCACGCCAAGGCGTCACCTCACGGAACCATGAGCTCGTGACTCCGATCTGACGCCGTGTGGCCGTGCCCGGCAGGAACCACGAGTGGTTCCAGCAGGACCCTCGCCGCCTATTTGTTCCCGGAGCCCTCGGAGCAGGACTCGTCCATCATTGATCAGGATGTGGTGGCCGACATATGCACGGTAAGTCTGGCCAACGGCGCCCGCAGCTTCTGGGCTCTTGGACGCCGAGCTGCCGCCGGCCCCAGCCTCCCACTTCTGCAGATTCCATGCTTCCCAGACCCTGGACTCCCATGGATCCCGGGCCTTCTCTGACCCCATTTTTACGGATCGCAGGCTTCTCCGGTTCATATCTGCCCCGATCCCAGATTACCCAGAACTGCTCCCGCAAACCACAGACTCCCATGCTGCCACAGACTTCAGGCTCCCTAAACAGCCCCACCCTTGAACCACAGGTTCCGGCCTGCAAATCGCAGATCCCCTGAACGGCTAGCCCTCCGAGCTCAAGACTGTCGGGTAGTGGGGATGTGGTCTTTCGGATTGTGTTCACATTTTCAAGTTAATTGCGGCGTGCCTCACATTAGCGCCGCACCTGAGCTCCGGTTGGCGGTGGTGGTCGTGCGCCGCCATGGCCCCGTGTTCAGTGGCCCGCCCCCGCCCCCGCCTCCTCCCCGCTGGGAACGCCGCTCACCAGCTGCGCGTGTCGCTCGCGGCAGAAATTCAACGTGTCGCCCGACGAGGTGCACGCGGCGCTGCTGTCGGAGGACCCGCAGGACCAGCTGGCAATCGCCTACCACCTGCTCATCGACAACAAACGACTGGCGGGCGAGCCGGAGAAGTTCGAGATGCGCGACTTTTACGGCCCGAACTCGCCGCCGCTCACGGCGCCCGTGAAGGTCGGCCCGCTCGGTACGTGGGGGTGGTGCCGGCGGAGGCGGACTCGGCTCAGGCGGTCACGCTGGGGCCCGGCGCGCTTCACGGGAGCCGCCGCGGCGAGGACGGAGGTGATGGCGCGCTTGTTCGCGGCGGTGGTTGTCTCGTGCTGAGTTCTGGCTTTCGTGTGTTTGGCTTGTGTGCTGTGGGGCATGGGGTCCGCTGTCGTCTCACCATCGGGTCCACGAGATTGGCGCATCGCGTCCGTGTTGACGCCAGCTGTCGGCATTGCCCGGAGACGGGCGCGGGTGGCCGAGTGCTCGGTCAGGCCCGGAGCGACGCCGTGTGGCGGGCTGTGCGCCGCCGGTGCGCTGACCCGCCGCCCGGCCGCCCCGGCGGGCCGGTGCGCCGCCGGTGCGCTGACCCACCGCCCGGCCGTCCCGGCGGGCCGGTGCGCCGCCGGTGCGCTGACCCGCCGCCCGGCCGTCCCGGCGGGCCGGTGCGCCGCCGGTGCGCTGACCCACCGCCCGGCCGCCCCGGCGGGCCGGTGCGCCGCCGGTGCGCTGACCCACCGCCCGGCCGTCCCGGCGGGCCGGTGCGCCGCCGGTGCGCTGACCCACCGCCCGGCCGTCCCGGCGGGCCGGTTCGCTGACCCGCCGCCCGGCCGTCCCGTCGGCAGGTAACCCGCTGCCGTCCGCCGAGCCGGCCGGACGTCCCCACCCGGAGCGAATACCGCGTGAGTGGGCCGGCGGGCCGGACCCGCTCCCGGTGGGCCGGCGCGCGCCGCCGCCCGCCCGCCCGCCGGCGCCGAGAGGTCGGCCGGCCGGCGCGCGCCGCCGCCCGTCGCCCGCCCGCCGAGAGGTCGGCCGGCCGGCGCGCGCCGCCGCCCGTCGCCCGCCCGCCGAGAGGCCGGCCGGCTGGCCGCGCCGCACGGCGCCCTGGGCTGGGGTCGGGGCTGGGCCGATACTGCCGCCGCTGGCACCGGAAATGAAAGGCATTTCCGCTGTTCGTCGACGTGCGGTGCCTAGAGCGGGGCTGTTTGTTCCGACGGCAGTGTTTCAGTAGGGGGATGGCACAGCTAATAGATGTCTGGCCAATTTATGCTGTGCTCTGTGATGTCATCAAGGCTTGATTAGTACGTGCTGTGACATCTCATTCGAACCCTGTACGATACGCCTGACACGAGTGTACGCCGATTGCCCGCGGATCGGATTCGCCCTGACCTGACCCGACCCGAGCTTGACCTGGCGTCTGTGGGCCGGGCAGCGGTTGCGGGCCGAGGCCGCCGGCGGCAGGGCGGGGAGGGGCGGCCGGCCGGTCAGCGCCGCCGCTCAAGCGGGCCAAATGGCACCTCGGCATCCGGTCCCAGAGCCAGGCCGCTCTGACATCATGCACGAGGTGTGTACCGCGCCATGCAGTCGCTCGACTACGTAAGTCATCGAGTCGGGTCGGCGCGGCCGGCGCGCCTCGGCAGCGCGGAAGGGGGAGGGGGGGGGGGGGGAGGGCGGGAGTACGCCTTGGTGTGTGTTGTGTGTGGTGAACGTCGGGCTGTTGGGAGTTTGATCTTGCAGGCAGCCACGCGACCTCCAGGCTGAAGGAGGTGCGTCCGGCGGCCGTCTATCGCTGCGGTTATCCGTGATATCGAGACGAACGCAAGCGGCCCCCCTTGTTCTGAGGAGCGTGTCCACAGAAATGCCGATGTCAGCGCTCTTCTTGTGTGCTATTGGTCAGCGGGGGGGCCTGAGAGCTGAATGCGTTCGATTGAATGTGTCGATTGGCTTTCGCCGAGTGGCACGCTCCAGCGCCGGGCTGTTGAGGAGGTCTGCCAGAACACCACGGGTGGCGGCGTGGGTGCTTTATGAACTGCACCGCCCACTGGTTTTTTGAATGTGGTTTTGGACCCATTGATTGTATGGGCAGAATTCTTTGTAGGCCGATGCGCAATTTCTCTTATGGGAACCAAAAATGTTCATAAACTGGCGTCATCTGAGCATTGCCATCGACTTGAAGCGAATGCCCAGTTTTCATTTTCTGTTGTAGTCAGCCTCTTGCATAACTAAAGGCATCCAGTACTCAGTCTCATCATGCGCGACCCACCGCCGCCCCGTCTCGCGCGCGTTTTGAACGCGTGCGTGCCCCGTGCGTTCACAGACAATGGAAGACCATCAACAACTTCTCAGTTCGCGTGAATCACCTGAACCCGGTGACGGGCCGCTACGTGAAGATGCGCTGCAGCTGTACCAGGTGGACGGGCGCAGCTACCTGCTCGACTTCAAGTCGATCCCAGCGACGACTCTGCGCCGCCGGCCGCCAGCGGTGAGTGGCCGCCGGCGCGCCGTCGGCCGCCCCCGCCGGGCGCGGCCCGCTGTCGGCGTGGGGACCGCAGTTAACCGTATCGTCGAAGCGTCCGCGCCGTTAACCGCTACCACCGGCACTGTCCGTCCGGTGCCGTGTGCTGCGACCGTCGCACGGCTGTCTGTCTTGTCAGCGGTCACACACACACACCAACGCGCAGTCGAACCGCCGCTGCCCTGTCCTGTGTCCTGTCCTGTCGTATCTCATGTCCCTGTCCTGTCCCTGTCCATGGTCCATGTCCCTGGCCCTGTCCCTGTCCGTGTCCCTGTCCCTGTCCGTAGTCATTGTCCGTGTCAGTGCCCACGTCCCTGTCCATGCCCATGTCCATGTCCATGTCCATGTCCATGTCCTTGTCCTTGTCTCTATCCCTGTCCTGCCCTGTTCTGCCCTGTCGCGCCCGTGAGCAGCCCCAATCCGGCCAACCGGGCCTAGTCCGCCCTTTCTTTCGTCGAGAGCCCCGCGTGCCGCCGGGTCGCCGCGACCGTTGGTCGCGCTGTCGGACCGGATGTGCGTCTCTGTCAGTCCCACCCCCTCGCCCTGTCACTCGAAGCCCAACCCTCACTCCTCTCGGCGTCACCGCTGCCGGCCAGAGCTCACCCCGGACGCCCCGGTGCGGTGGCGTCCTCATTTCGCCGCCGCGCTGCTCGGCCCAGCGGCGGTCGTTGGCGATTGGGGGTCGTGGTTTTCCGTACTGACGCGTAGACTAACTGTCGTGAGATCACCACCGTTTCAACCCGCATCCCACGTCGTGTAGCCCGCATGCCCGCCTGCTGGCTCGGTTGCGCCAACCGGTCGCATGTACGGCGAGCCGGCCACCGTGCCCGCCCTCCCCTGGGCCCGGCTCTGGCTTTGGTCGCGTCGTCGTCCGGCGCGGCTTGGCTCGGGCCGCCCTAACCCGTGAGCGCAGCCGCACGCGCCGCCGCCGGGCGCTGCCCCCGCCGGCGTCCGGCTGACCCTGACCTCTGACCCGTAGCCGCCGCCGGCGCCGCCATCCCGTCCGTGGAGATCTGGCCGCCGGGTGAACGGGCTGGACGAGAGCGAACGTGAGTGGCGCCCGCCGCCGCCAGGAGCCGGCGCCTGGCTGCTGGCTGCTGGCTGCTGGCTGCGGGCGGCGGCAGGGCCGACCGCTGAGTCGAACGGCTGCTGCTCACGCTGGGGGTCGCGTTTCTGTCCGACGCCACCGCTCTCAGACTGCGCTCGACGTTTCGGGTCTCGCTTTGTTTGGTTGTGGCTGGGTGACATTTTCATGTGCTGAACATTGTAGCGGCACGAAAGGCTGTTGTATTAGTACATGCGAATCGCAAAAATTATGTGCGCACCGAATCCCAGGTGTGGTCGCTATTATCACGCTCCAGCATCTCGTTCAATGGTACTGACGCATGCACTTGGGGTCCTTTAGGGTGTGCGAGTGCATGCCGAAGCCTGGGGTATGGCAAGCATCGATAGCCAGGCATGCGTTCCTCGTCACCTCGAAACCATGCAGGTGTTCTCTGTCATATTTATGTATGCCTTGTAGTTCCTGTGCTCGGTTCAGCAACATTTTGCAATGGGCGGTTCAGTTTGCTTTACCACCTCTGCTCTACCCCGCGCCTCGAGTATTGTTGGACTTGTGTTCGTGCTGACTTGTTACAGGGGTAAGATGCACGAGTACGCAACCGGGAAACCGTATCTTGGGACAACCCCATGGTTGAGTAACTCGCTTTAAGATCGTTCGAGTAAAGTTCGTCGGGATATTAATTGTGTAGTATTGAAGGTCCTGCAAGCGCCAAATTGTGAGCTGAAAACGCTAGGGCTAAAGCGGACTTACATATTGACGGGTACGCGATCAGTTAGCACATACATGGAGGACGCTTTATTTACGGTGGCATCATCAATAGCACTGCAGCTTTTGAAGTTTTCGTTTGTGCGTCACACGGGTGTTGGAGTCCCCCATGGCGTAGGCTGTCCTGTGTTTCCCGCCGTCCGTTGACTGGCGCCTGGAGGCGGCCGTGTTTCGCCTCCGAGCCGAGTGAGTGTGCGGCCTGCGGCGGCCGTGTCTGACCGGGGTTCCTGTGCGCAGAGCCGGCGGCCCAGCCGCAGCCGGCCTCCTCACCGGTCAGACCGGCCTCCGCGGGAGCCTCGTCCCGCCTCCGGAGGAGCCTCGTCAATCCTCCAGTGAGTGCCGCGGCTCGGCCCCGACCCCGTGTCTTCTCCGGTCTGGTGACCTGACCGGGGCTGGCGCTGCGGCCGCGCTGGTCTTCAGGGCCGCAAACGCGGATGGAAGGCGGCATTGGTGGTCGGAAGGCGGTGTGCAGTGCGGCAAAAGCCTTGAGTAGTCCAGAACGTAAGCCTTAATTTGCCGCAAATGTTGATGATTCAGGTATTCCTGTGTCGGGATTCGCAGTATATAGACTCATCTGGTCCCCACCGGATACGATATTTGTATGGTATATGTATAGACGGAGCATCAGTTAATGCTCGGACAATTTCACAAATGGCCCCGCGGATGGCAACCTGGCCATCCAGTGAGTCGCACTCATATTTGATACTCATTGATATCACCCATTGTCATAGTCTGTCTGAAGTCTGGGACCCGCGAGCCTGTGGGAGGCGGGACTGGGGTCTGGGGCCTCGGCGCAGGACGACTGCGCCGGGCTGGGGCGTTGGCTGCCCAGCCGCCGTCGCTGACGTCCGCCGCGCGTCCCCAGGCGTCGCCAGCTACTCTGTCGTCGAGCTCGTCGGGTGCGGAGGAGACGGGCCCGCGGCCGGTCTCGGCGCCGGCCGGCAACGCGCGACGGCCGTCTCTCGCAGCAGGTGAGGCGGCCGGACGCGGCTCGAGCTGCCGCCCCGCCGCGGCGGGCGGCGGGGGGTGACCCTGAGCTGGGAACTCTCCGAGCGGGGGCCGTCCTTCCGCTCGCTGTTTCCAGCTACCAGCGCGCGGTCAACTACTTCTCGCTCGTATCTCAGCGGTCACCGATGGGGCTGTTCGCTAGGACCGCACGCTCTTCTCAATGGCATGGAGTGACGTTTGGGCCTGGTGTCCGGCAGAGCTCGGCGGACGCTGCCGCCCCAGCCACGGGCGCCCGCCACTACACCATGGAGTTTTTCGAGATGTGCTCGGCGCTCATCACACAGCTGGCCCGCTAGGCGGCGCTGTCCGTCTGTGGCGGCCGCCAAAGTGTGGCGTCGCGGCGGCCTGTGGAAAACTGCGACGCAAGGATCGGAGAGTAGCGGGACATGAAGCTCCGAAAGCGTGGGTTCGCGTAGTGGTACTGCGGCACTCGAATGCTCACCATTAACTTGAGGAACTTGGAGCGACGTGTGGTTTGGGTGTTGTGAGCAATTGTGTCCCGTTTTGGTGAAAGTTAATTGTCCTGCTGTGCCTGGCGCCGTAATCGTACGATAACACGGGCCTGTTCGCCCTGTCATTAGCGATCGTTTTACTAATCTGTGAGTAGTTAGTCGTCTCGCGCATGTAGTCCGCCGCAAACCGTAGATTGAACACCCTTCGCGTCGTGAGATGTTGTGCCGATACCCACATGAGTGCAATGGTAACGTAACCTGGGCGCATCGGTTGATTTGACATTTGATTTTAGCGGCCAGGTATGGGTGGTGCTGCCAGTGCTGAGGGGCGGGGACACGGCGCCGCGCCCGTCGCTCCGGGCGAAGCGTCGGGTGCGGTGTGGGTGTGTGCTGCCCGTGCTGAGGGCGAGGACACGGCGTCGCACCCGTCGCTCCGGGCGGGGCGTCAGGTGCGGTGTGGGGTGGTGCTGCCCGTGCTGAGGGGCGAGGACACGGCGCGCCCCGTCGCTCCGGGCGGGCGTCGGTGCGGTGTGGGTGGTGCTGCCCGTGCTGAGGGGCGAGGACACGGCGCCGCGCCGTCGCTCCGGGCGGGGCGTCAGGTGCGGTGTGGGTGGTGCTGCCCGTGCTGAGGGGCGAGGACACGGCGTCGCACCCGTCGCTCCGGGCGGAGCGTCAGGTTGGCGCGGCCTTTGAGTCCGCTCGGGAGGGGTAGGGCGACCGCGTGGGCCTACCATCCGGGGCTGTGTGCCTGTAGGCTGTTCGGGGCGGGGGGGGGGGAGGGGAGACGCACCAACCCTGTCGTGGATGTGTCGGGATGAGGGGCGGTCTGTTGTGCGTGAGTCTGCTGCGCTAGAATGGAGAGGCTGTGTCGGCGTGCCATTTTAGAGGCTTATGGGCGCATGGTGTGTGCTCTCGCGCGGGGTAGACTGTCGGCGCTCGGCGAGATAGACGGTAGAAACACCAATCCCCGCACCGCGTCCTTCGCGTCGAGTTTTATCCACTGAAGAACGGATTTGGTTGTGACGAATGATGGGCTCCCGCGTTCTTCCGCGCTGAATGGCATTTTCCCTCTGAATGAAGCCGTCGTGCTCAGTTGTGTGCCCCGCGCGGAGTGAGAGCGATTTTGGAGTAACTACGGTTAGGTCGAGCGTCGTCCACGGGTGGAATGGCCGGTCGGAGTTGGTGCCTCTTCTTCGACGCCCGTGGTCTGCGTTGACCGGGCATTTTAGTGTGGCGCGCGGGGTCGACAAAGACTCCTCGGTAGATTTAACATCGCGCTCCATGGCTGGTCCGCGCATGGTGCATGTGTGGCTGCAGACTGCCAGCTAGACATGATGAATACACTGGGATAGATTGACACGCGTGTCATGGCGTCGTGGGATCCCTGCGGCGCCCGTCACTTCGCCGGCCAGCGACTGAGCCATATCGAAGGGTCCCGTTAGCTCCTGCGCTGTGCCGTGGTGGCGGAGCCCGTCTGCCCGCGGCTGCTAGCCCCGCAGAAGCCCGCCATGTAACTGGGGCGGTGAACTTCTCTACTCAGAAGTTCTCTACAGGGGCCTTCGCTAAGTGGCCTATGCTGACTACCTTACTTAGGGTCCCTTACTGACCGTACAGTATTGCGTTCCGGTTCTACGAAGTGAAGGATCAGCAGACTAGTAATGAGCTGAGTGCGAACCGGTGTGCAAATGTGCTCGTGATACGTTTGAAAATATTACTGAGCTGGGACGTCCAAAATATAGAAAGAACATTCCAACCAGCCTGCTTTAATTCAACGGGAGACCTCCTGATAATATTTACCCCTTCTTCAGCCTTGTTCAGTCGATGTGATCGAAACGGATTTAGACGCGCTAAGAAAAACAAAAAAAATCGCATGCAATCAGTATTCCTATCCCCATGGGTGTAACAAAAGTAGATCGCTGGTTTTCCATTTTAACTGCGGGTAAATATTGCAAAGTACTGGCAAAGAATACACGAAATGCGCTCACAGTTTGGATGCAATAATAAAATACTTAAGAATGTCGCTGCGTCACATCACTGACGCCGCGCATACATCTTGGTGCATGCACATAGCTTTTCCATATTTGGAACCGACCTAGTCACGACCCGCATACGGCATATCGCAGCAGGCAAAACAGGATAGTACTCACACGTGTAACAAATACCCAGACCCTAAGCCCACTATCGCACCCCGTATTGCACATTACCCAAGCCGATCGCTCTATTCAGTTTTTTCATTTAACATTCCGAGATATACACTCGCTGTGGGTGTCCTCGGTTGTTATGAGTGGTGGGTAGCTGGAGAGTTGCGATGGTGGGTGGAGCTGAAGAGTTGCGAGTGGTATGTAGATGAAGAGTTGTTATGAGTAGGTGGGAAGCTGAAGGGGGTAAGAAGAGTTGGTATGAACGTATGAGCAGGAAATCGCTGGGACTTTCGGCTCTGTCGGCAGAGCCGTGAACACAGAGCTGCTGAGTCGCTCTCAATACAGCGCTGAGGAGGCTGTGGTCGGAGCGTCTGCAGCTTCTCTGCTCTCAGAAACTGCTAACGTCTATACATGACGACCAGCAGCCATCAAGCAGCTCGTGGTAACTTACAAATTGAATAATGTTCGAACTAAACTGCGGCGGTTATAGGAAAACGGGCGTGACGAATTGTTTGGACGCCTGCTGTAGACAACTGTGATGATGCATGTGGCCAAAAATATCTTCTGACTCATCTGGCAACCACATCACCGCTAGCTTCCAGCCGCCAGGGCGGTCAGGCTGTCCAATACTCAGAACCAGCCAGTGCGGCGGCGGGCCACGCGCCACCAGCGGACCGCGGCCGTCCACCGATTACGGGGCGGGGCCGGCCCGGGACACGGCCCGTCAATTGGTGGGAGTGAAGTCAGCGGGCAGCCGCGGCGATGGCTGCCTGCTTCCGGACTGAGTCAGCTCCGTTCGGTCGCCGCGCCCGCCGATAAAAATACGCTCGCGTGGTGACAGCAGAGCACGCAATTCCGGCCGCCGGGCCCGCGTCATACACGACAGCGCACGCCGGGTGTGGCGGCGTCGCGTCGGCGAGTTGTGAAGGGGACCCGGCGAGTGAAGCGGCTCGGGTCACCGTCCCGGCTCCACGGCCCTCATGACGGTCTGAGTATGTCCCATGCAGCTGCACGCGTTCTGAGTGACAGCGGCATTCGGAGGCGGTGGGCGAGTATTGCTGTCTGTGGTGGCGAATGAGGTCAGATGGATGCTATGATCCTACGCGATGGGCGTTACTTGGCGGAAGGAAACCTTTCCGGTCTTTATATTCATGCAGGAAACGGTAAATAACACATACGGGAAGGCTGGTGTACATAAGGGTCGAAAATTGCTCGAACTGCATTATTAATGCCTGCGTAGCAAACACCACGCTTTGTTATGGTCCTGGGAGCACCTAGTTGGTTCGAACTACTCAAGATTCGTTGCGATAGCTGGATGAATAGGGGTTTGGTGTTATACAATTCAACCGATGCGATTGCAACAGCTCGATGGAGACCAAGCACTCCATCCTTGAAAATTACACCGACGTTAGGGCACCTTTGTAAGTAAGATAATGCCATTGAATAAATCGCTACGATACATCGGCGATAGGTTGTCATCAGCGCATGAAATTTCACTAAAAATATTTCCATAGTTTGAAATGGCAGCAGTCGTCTCACACACATTCACTGACGAAATTTACTTTGATATAGGTAAAGAGGCGTCACTTTATACACTTTTATCCCCTTCCCGAAATACTGACTTGAACCCCTCCACTGCCTCTCTGACGCATCCTCCCCTCCCCCCGCCCAAACGCATTCGGGCAGAATGAAGAAATATCGGGCTGAGGGAAGCAATGAAAATCCTTGACCTGTTAGCACGGTTACCTGAGCACATCACTGAGCATCACGCCCCTGTATACCGCTTAGTATCCCGTAGCCCTTTATAAGCGGCTAGCGTTATTAGACAAGAGCTGAATTTGGTACCAATTCGTGCATTTGGTACCAATGCACGAAAACCAGGGATAAACAAAACAGAAGTGAATCCCAGCGATTGTCGAGCCGATCACAACGGCGGGTTGAATTTCGTGGCGAAGTGGTATTTTTAGTCATGATGTACCTTTCCGTCATTTTACATTTGTGAGTCTGGTCTCATGGCACAAAACCATACGCCGGAAAGACATGAATGACTAATTGCTACGTGGATGGTAAACAGAATGCTTGCGGAGTAAAATCTCCCGGCTATTTTGATATACCTGACAGCATTCCATGGGTTCTACACCGATATACAATGACTTTTTAGGCATTTCAGCTGTTCAGCAACACCAGCGTAAAATCACCACCAGCGTTGAGGAAAGCTCTTCAAGGGCATCATAAGGAGAAACGTACTAATGGAAAAAATCGATGCGGAATGAATGGCACAGGTAGGAAAATAAACATATTTTGCTCGTAGCGATGTGTTCTAGGGACTAAACCCTTTTCAGATATTTCGGCCCAATAATTTTCATCTTCCAAATAGTAAAGCTTCGTCTCTTTCCCGGTGAAGTCCGACTTGACCACCATATGGCCATGGATTAAACGGACATTGCTCGCCACAATGTCGGACAGCGCCGTTTCGTAAGCACTTTATAAAGCATCGAAACAAATGTCATTTTTTAGTTCAAAGATGTCTGATTATTGGGCCTGATAAATGTCTGGTTAGATATATCTTACTGGAAATAATCGCGTCTGAAAATAAGCGCTGTCGTTTGTTCTCCAAATCGAATAATAGAACCGCAATGGACACTTTTGAGAGTAAAACAAAACGAAAAACCGTAGTGTTTGGAGTGTGTCACGAGGCGCAGA